CTTTTATAGTAATCCTACCTTTTATGGCTCTTTAAAGCAAGAGAAGTCCCAATGTAATAGTTTTCGAGGATAATCAACTATTGTTATCCATTCTAGATTCTAAATTTAATCACCAAGTACAAGAATTCTCCTCCACCCATCCATTTGTTCCTTCTCCCCACTAATGGTCATCCCTACAGTGCACGCATCCTAGTCTCCCACCTCCTGATCACCACAAACTCAACTTCGATGATGTTGTCCATCCTTCTCGAGGTAGTACTACGAGCTTGGTGTTGAAGTTTGCAGACGACCGCACGCATCTTGCTATTTGGACTTCAACATCCTAAGATTGACAACTCGTACCTAGCCGAACTACTAGGTGCTCAAGATGGTTTAAACTTGATTCGTCGTTTCGACCTCCATGGAGTCATACTGGAATGGGATTATGAAGTCGTCATTCACTAGCTACTTAGAGAGATAGAGATATATGCAACTGAAGGTCTGGTGCTCAAAATGTCATCAGATGATCGTTGCTCTAAACATAAGCTTAGAAGTATGTGCGGTCCCTAGGATCGCCAAGCGGGTTGCCCATAGTATAGCAAGAAAAGCCACTTATTTGTCTAATTTAGAGATGCTTTCATTTGATTGTATTGCTTGGCTGGGAAGGAATTTATAGGGTAAATAGATTCTTTTCTGTATTTTATTCATATCTCCGAATACAACAACAACAAAAAATCTCGTTAAGCAATTCATCGTATTTTGTACAAGTAAACCTGCCCGCAAAGCTGTTATTCCTTTTACTCGTTCTTTCTTTAAAAGATAAAAAGTGGGTACGCTTTACCACCCACAATTTTTTTACTACTGTTTCATTATTTGTCGTCTTGCGGAAAGTTGGGTGGGTTTGTGTTCGCGGTAGGGTGGTTGGCAGCGGCGGACGGATAGGCGACGCTTGGGTCGGAATGGAAACAGATCCTGCAATCACCCGCTTTAATCGACGCAGTAGTTTCCGTACGCGAGTGCATACTTCCTGCTTCAAACCTTGCACTGAAACGTGTTATTTTGGTCTTCGCGTCGCTTCGTCGTGCTGCTTTCCCGGAATCGCCGATCTACCACGCATAAACTATTGCGCCTCGGCTCAACACGGCAGTGGAAAATAGTTGTCCTTCCTCTACCTACTACCCTTTATGCAGTGGAGAAGGAGATTGGTCCGGCCCTTTTCTCTTCAGTTTCTCTTTGCCTCATCTTTGTTGTCGGTTTCCTCTGTTCTTGCATATCCTCTTCTCCCTAATTCACTTCAATGAAACACATCCTCTCCAAGCTCATGTGGGCGGACAAAGATCCCTTGCTGAAATTACGCCTCCTCCATACATTGATGGCGGGGAATCCAGCGCGACCGGATGGATTCTCCGAAAACACCACTCTCTGGACGGATGAGTTGGTTGGTTGCCTGATTCCTCTTATTCCTTCCTTCGTCTGCTGTTTGCTTTAGGTTCCTCATTTTTTGCCTCTTTTCGCAGGGTGTTTGGTCCAGGGTCTTGCGTCTAAGCAGCTGTGTGGTCAATTGCAAGAGGTTCTTGATGTGGGGAAGGTCTATTTTGTAATCCAGTGTGAGTCCAGGAAACGCTGGTCGGTGTGTTCCAATGACCTCCTGTTGTATTTCAATTCCAAAACTTCCTTCGTCCACTCTCATGAAGACGATCATACCTTCTATCCTGATAGCTTTGAGATCCGCAGCTTTGAGGACCTCGAGAAAATCGTCACAGTACATTGCTCTGTTGTGGGTTGGTGTTCTATTCGTGAATCTGCCCTGCTAAACGTTCATGCTATGCCTGCTGAAGAAATGCTCTTTTCCATAGATGTTGTGGGGCGGTTGGTGTCTGCAACGCCTGTTAGCTATTTCTAGAAGCAAGAGCGTTCCATCAAGCGGCAAGTTGTGGTCATTGATATTGAAAGGTATTTCGCACTTCCCTTTGTGGTCTCCCTCGCCTGCTTTGTTCTACTGGATTCCTCTTTCAGCCTTCCAAGTGTCTCTTCTGTTGCCGGGAAAGCCTCCTTATCAATCACATTATGGTCCGACTTTGCCGAAAGAGTGAACTTCCCTAAACTCATTGAGCTCAATGGCACAACACCTGTGATTGTGGCATTCACCAGTCTTAGTCTGGCTAATTGGCGTGGAACGTTTACTTTGACGTGGACTCTGTTCAGTGCTATGTGCCTGGAAGTCAATTGAACTTGGTAAAGGATCTCTTATTCATTGAGCTCAATATTATAACTGCTGCTTGTTATTTGTTGGTTGGCCATAACTGTTCCGTTCCCCCTTCTTTAGTTCTCATTTTGTGGTTTGTATTCGTGTATTTCATTATTCTCCTATTTTTTTTCTTTGGCCAAGTTAGATGGAGCTTCAGTAATACTGTTGTTTGGTATTTTTTTCATCTGTATATAACCTTCTGGTATGCGATCATCAACTTATATTGGCCTTTATTTCATACAAATCAGTTAAACATTAATGCAAGGACTCGAGCAGTTGGAGACATTTCACTTTTGGTTTAGCAACAATGTTACTGATTGTTCACTCTTCAACCAATGGTTTCACAACTTGCAATCTGAGACTGGTTTTGGCTTAGCAAAAATGTCCTTCAGATCAGCCAGTTCTGAATTTTACTCATTTTGATGTACAGCGCTACGAAAGCTACAGGTAGCTTTTGTTTGGACATGAAATTTGAGTCCTTTTTTTCTCTTTATGAGTGCTCCGTTGTCGGATCAAGCATCTCAAGAAGTTTACAAGATCTAAATTCATCATCCATTAGTGAATCCGAAGCTAGCTGTATCTCATTTGGGTTTTCTGTTGTTGAGCTGTTTCTCATCCTAGATAAGCCATATTGGCTTCCATAATGCTTTGTTGGTAAAATTTTGCTTTCGTAGTTCTATATGTTAACATTTGCAGGTCATGCATGTGCTTTTGACAACCAGCTGTATATGTTCTAGGCTAATTTATCATAATTATATGGCTTCCTATGTATCAATCAATGCACCAATGGATTTTCACCTTGGTGGTCGTACTTTTGATGTTTCCCTGCTATCAATTGAAAAGGGTATCTCTGTAGTGAAGGCAACTGTTGGGGACACTCACCTTGGTGGTGAGGATTTTGACAACAGATTGGTAAACCATTTTGTCCAGGAGTTCAAGAGGAAGACCAAGGAGAGTATTTTTTTTTAATTTCTTTGTTTATTCCCCAACATAGATATGATCCAATTCAGGTTTCACTTCCTTGAATTCTACATAACTTCTTACTCATTTATCTGTTTGATTCTTTAGGTCAAGACTTTTGCCTTGGACACTCAATTGAAGCTTAAGGATCTAGATCAGAGCAGTAGGTAGCTACATGTGGTTAACGGAACAATTTTAAGCTTGGGTGTATCTTTGGCCAAATTATTATCAAGTAGCCTTAACTAACTACTATCGCTAATCCTTGCTTTATCTCTGGCTTATCAATGTGGAAAACTAACTAATCGATCATGCTTTGATGTTTTTGCTTTCTCAAAATCATGAACTTTTCTTGAATAGGATACCTATTAGTTCTTTATACAATGCATTTATAGTTTTACTTAAATTGCTTCATTCGCTTGCAAGGACAAACACTTTCAGACAGCTGAGTTTGAGCCTCAACTGAAATTCAAATTTCAATGGAATTTCGACAGATTTGAATTATATCATTTGGTGGCCAAGACTGTATGGAGTGTTTAATATAGTGACAAATACCAGAAGCTGCAGGGGTTTTCGTATGCAGCCCTCAAAAGGAAAATAATAGATTTGTAAGAGTGCAGAAAGCAGATGTTTGGGAGATATTTCCAGGATCAAGAGACTTACTATTGGACTGAAGATCATTTGATGCCTTTATCCTCTCTTGATAAGCTGCTGCTACCATTCTGCATTTCGTGGTGGAAATGGAATGACATGTGCAGTAACATATGGAGATCTGTTGAGTGGATCTTCTTAGTGTGAAGAAGGCAGGAATATGAATGTACGACAGTTATAGAGCATGGGCAGGAGGCTGAGCTTGCATTTCTTTTGATGTTTTTCTTCCTTCACTATTTTGCTGCTACCTCTTAGCAGTCTGATTATAGTTAGCATTTAGAAACTCTTCAGTCTTTTTGGTTTCCTAACAATCTTCTATATCACCATTAATACAAAGGACCAACACTTTCAATATTATTCACTTCTGTAGAACTATATTGTATAGGTTTGCCATTGAGTGTTTAGTAGTAGCAGGTGGTGTGCAGCCTAAAGAAACTTTGCTTAAAGCACACCATCAAGTTTAATGCATCATTTGAACTAAATTCTGTCCATGAAATTCCTCTGCGGTGCTTATGAATTTACAGTCCTCAACTTATCATCCAATGTTCATTAGGTCTTCTTGCTGTATTGTTTATCACTAAGAAGGTGAGTAGTGTACAAAAGGATTCATTAGTTATTACTTATTAGTCATTATTTTGCTAACAATATGATAGTGCTTTGTTGACCAAAATTATTAATCAATGTGCTTTTTAACACGTGCATCACATTATAGTTTTATGCTTAGACCAAGCTTTATTCCTGAGCATTTGCCTACTACCACAGAACTTGAATCATAGCTAAGGAGATCAGATCAGAAGATGAAAGAACAGCCATAACAATAAGATTAAAACATTGGAGAAGCAAGACCAAATCATTGGACTTGAAGGTCAATTAAAAGTTCAATTGACTGATTATGCCCTCTGCTAACCATGTCCTGCGGCGTAGCCGCGGGTATTATTTCTAGTATTGAATAAATAGCAAGAACAACACATATATGATAACAGTGATAGCAACAATACTTGAATCTCAACTGGCAAACAGAAGCTGAAAGTATAATCAGAAAACAGAAGCTGAAAGAATCCCTGTCCCAGACCTAGTTTTATTCCATGTATTACCCAACTCTAGAAAAAAATCAGAGAAATGATTTCCATGCTTCCATAGACCATATGCAGTGACTTCCTTTCATTCACTGGGAAGAAGAGGAAGCTCCAACATCTGGAGGGGGCACTTCGAGACGGATATAGTCGTACAAGAAGCCTATGAAAGGGCTGTTGTTCCTTGGTTGCTTCAAGAACAAGGTATTTTCCCCTTCAACCATCCGACCACCTGGTACGTTCACATTGTACAGCAAGTACAGCCCGTGGCACCCGTGCCTCGCTATCGAGTTGTCTCTTCCAATAAGCCCCGTCGTAAACAATGGCTTCGATGAATTCGGATCGTTTACACGAATCTTGATTTCCAGGAAACTAAATTTCAGTCTAAGCGTAGAGTACCAAGTACACATGTTCAATCAAGATTGGTATTTTACCTGAAGCTCAGCTAGAGTAGCCGATGCTAGCGCGATCCGCAGTTTATAGGTACCGTTACGGTCTACTCTGTCGAGTTTAAACTTGATTTGCCATGTGGTTCCCGTGTGTGAACCATCGGCTTGCCTCCTGTTGGATGAAGAAATGCGTTAAAACAAAGCAACAATGTACATAAGCAGGCAAATGAAGGATTGGAGAAAGGGTACGCGAATTCGTAATTGTTGCACATCAGTTAGATCAATTACCTTACCACATGAGCAAAGAACCAGTCTTTGCGGTAGTCACAGCAATCTACGTCGTAAACCAAGTCCGAGTCAGGATACATCTCTGCATATCTATTCCACAATCCGTACTGCCGAAACCTGAACAGTAGACCGACACTCAGGTATTAATCAGATGGACATGGGAACAAGAATGGTGTAACATGGCTTCAAAGTACTTGTAAGCTCCAATAAGATAAGAAGCCTCAAAGTCTATGGTATAAAGAAGTTTCCTTTCCTGGTACAGGGAAGAAGCAAGAGTGTTTGAGAACTTCGAACCTATCAGGATGACCAATGAAGAGTCTGTTGACATACTGCGGGTCTGGATCAGGAACATAAAATTCCGCGCAAGAACGATCTGGGATGCCTATTTCCCACAGCGTGGGGCCATCTCTTGGAGGCTCATAAACAAGATCACCCATCTCAATATTGCAACCTAAAGACCAGAATTTCATTTGGCCAGCCCATTTAGATTTCTTATCTTTAGCATGAACTAAAAGAGGGATCATCCTAGGTGGTGTTTCGGAGAGACAGAACCTGAGGTTATGGTAATGGCTACATCACATCGGTAATCTCCAATAAAACCTGGCACCGTTGCATAAAGATTATAGTTTCCAGTACGGACATTTCTAATGACGAAGTAGCCATTATGATCTGTTGTCGTCCAAAACTGATAGTCCTACAATAAGAAAGAGGAAAGTACAATCAAATAGATGCAAACTCAAACAATCAATCCAGCAAAAGCTGGGGAGAGATTGAGGTGACCTTGCACTCGCTTTGCCATGATCCTGCTTCACCAGGCAGCGCCAACCCAACATAGGCACCACGTGCCAGCATATAGTCATTGCTCATATACCTAACCATCATGTTGATGGAATCTTTTGTTAACTCTGCTAAATCTCAGAATCAAGAAGCATACATATAAACATGACACTGGAAGGCTAATAGTTCAGAAAACCATTAAAAGTTGTTTCGGTCTCTACTACCTGTCCAGTACTAATAGTCTGCCAGCTACACTTCCCCTTTCATGCGGCTTTTGGAAATCCACAGATGCAGGAAAACTGTAAGGCCAACTTTGGACCTCATTCATCATCTGCAGTATCAGTGTACCTGAGTGTTTGTCAATCAATAAGGTCACTAATGAGCTGTTCGTCGGGGGATTTGGAGAAGCAAACCTGTGTTTTAGCATCCTCCCACAGTAACTGAGGATCGCTTCCATTGGGTGCTGAATTAAAATAGATAAAAACGGGGCCAAACACTTTCTTCCAATGCTCACCAGCAGCGACCGTAAGCAGTTGAAACTTCCCAGCATAATGTGTACTATGAAACATCTAAATCAGACAAGAATCAACTACATTGGTTAATAAAGAACAACACTTTTTGCATATCTGGAGTTAGAAATGACGAAACAATCTGAAGAGTGAAGACTGCTAATTAATAAAAACTTCCAACTTACAGCAAGAGTGGTGGGACCAACATGTGAGGTTAGGTTCTGCTTAAATGGCCCACCAGTTCGGAACTCATCGCTTGGTGTGATTTTCCAGAACCCAACTGCTGGGTTAAAAGATATCCACCCGTGTACCCTATTGTCTTTGTTATCACAAGAATATTGGTACTTATCATCCACCTGAAAATCATATTAGCCATGAGTAGAAAATTCAGTAAGTACTAAGAAATGGATTTTCTTGAAGGGTACTGTGAAGTAACCTCTCCTTTGAGATTTGGATCCTTGGGATTGAGAAGAAGGACGGCTTCTGGAAAGGCTAGCGTTTGGCATTTTCCCGCCATCCGGTCTTCTGGGAAAGGCATAATTCTTCTTCGATTATCTGCCATAGCCATGTACTGGAACCTAAAATAAAGAGTTGAGAAGAGAAATTTAGATGAATTTCAGAAACCATGTGTGCTGTTATCATCACTAACATGTAATCATGAAAAAATTAACAGGTCCTATTCTTTGATGATAGATACCAAAATGCATAATCGATGAAGTAAACATGGTAACATGAAGCAACCCAAAAGAAAACTTCAACAACATCCAGTCTAATTATCTGGGAATAGGAAATTCCACCATAAACTTCATCATTGTCCTTCTGCAAATTGACATTCTGAACAAATGAACAAGGCAACCAACTCTTATGGGTGCAATCAAGTGATTTAGTCAACCACCTCAAGCATGAGAGCAGAAATAGGCAGCAAATAAGAGAAGTTCCTTCTCACGAAACATAAGCTCAGCTTATATAACCAATTCGACTTGCAGGAATACGGAAAGACATTTTGAACTTTAACAGCTGATAAAAATGACATATGGTAATGGTACGATCAGTCAAACAAAAGAATCATGCATATGCTACCCTTAGCTCCAAAGCAAATATTTATTCTTAAATATCAACTGAGCAAAGTCACAGCACGTGTAGACTACCCTTAGCTTCAAAACAAATATTTGTTCTTAAATATCAACCAACCGAAATCACAGCAGAAGGCTTAAGAACTTCGCAAATGATCAATCATATCCTCAAGGTATCAGAACAATCAAACGAATAGTGGCTGGATTTTTACTTGTCTTTTCTGAGTTTGAAAGTCATTCTTGTTTCTCCAATCTCAAAAGGAGGCCATTCCGCCATGTGCTCGTATATTGCATAAGTGTAGAAGCCAGAAGAACCACGGAGTAATATAAACCTGGAGAACAACAGGAGGTATCATGATTCTTATATGAAAATGGCTGAAACTAGATAATGATACAGCTGTCCTGAAATGCAGCACTATTACACAGTATGCTGATACGCAAAATTTGGCGAAAGAACCTTTTATCGATGATCAAGGGAATGGCCTTGCCTTCAAGAGAAGGATCCCACATTCTGATGAATGAGATCTCAATTTGTTCCTCAGTTTGCACAACCACACTAAACTGTGTTCCACTGATCCTGCATACATAAGAGTTTATTCATCATTCGGAGCAGTTTATGTTATAGAGCTTTTCTTTGTCAATTAAACGAATTAGGAAGAAGGATTCATATTCAAAGCAGAGTCTCAAACAATACAGTAACTGAAGAAATCTGTATCCATCAATAATCATAAATAGATCAAAGAGAAAATTTTGGCATCATACACATCAAATATTCCCTTGCCTCCAGGTGGATGCCAGTGAAGATCCCAGTACCTACGCAAGTAAAATCCTTGAGGCTCAATCTATATTCTATAAACACAAACACTCAAATCACTAGGCATTCCAGCTCCGAAGAAGGAAGCCTAATCATAGCATATCTACCCCCTGTTCGTTTCACGGTTGAGAATCTCAAGCAAGTTGTCAATTCCTCCATATCTAATTCCAGTAACAATGCCCGCTGGATTAGAGAGTGTTACTTGGACTATTCCATTATCCATAACCACCTGCAAATTCAAAGAGTACAATCAAATCTCTGCTAATGAGGCCCTCCTGATTAACTAGCATATATCCAATCCATCAACCAATATTGAACACCAAAAGAAGCAACACGATAAGGAAGACGAAAAGAAAAGGCAATTACATAGCGATCTTGAATATGAAGTCGAACCGGTTGATGAGACATGTTGTGGTTTCTCAGAGCATGCGGATCACCGTAAGATCCCTGGTTCGAGTTGTTTGTATCTGCGGAAGTACAAGTGTGAAGAAGGCAAAAGCACCCACAAAAGAAACAATGAAGGCACAGGGAGCAAATTGGTCCTGACTCTTCAAGACTAAGTAGGAAGCATTCTAATCCCTAGCCCCAATAATAAACGAGAAGTAAATCCAAAGACCAATCATAGCAAGAGCACCCTAAAAATGTGCAAAAACGAATGATGGTGGCTCTCTGACCATGATTGAAAACCGCCATTAATGATCGGCATTATGATTTTGCTTTTCTTGTTTAGCAAGGCCGATGATTACAAATACACCACCGCACGAAACAGCAGATGAAGAGCAGTTAATACCTAATTGAATATGTGCATCATCTAATCTAATGAAATCGTAATCAGACACTCCTTTTCCATCATCGTCAATCGCAAGCTCTAAATCAATGGCGGGAAAGCGATCGGAAATTAAAACAAATGCCGGAAAGGATTTCCTCCAGGCGATACTTTGTCCTGTGAAAATCAACGCGGAAGAGAGGGAGAAAGAGAGAGAGTTTCGGGCACCTAGAGGGAGCTGAGAAGTAGGGAGGGTGACATCATTATTACTTCGCCGGATGCAACCGCCACATTTCGCCAGAGAATCCAACACGCTCTCCACTCTCTTCTTCATTCATTCATACAGCTCTCCCGCCGTCTGATCAGCGACAAAGAAATCCACGATACCGCTTTCCTGTACCAATATGAATTCCCAATGAGATCTGAGACTACAGGCGGAATGATCGGAGATGGCGGCAAAACGTCGCTTCACTAGCCGTTATTATCATGGACCTTGCGAAGAATAAAGAAGTAATACGCCGCTTGGGCCACCCATGCTCAAAATTCTCCTCCTTTACTTGATTGTTTGGGTTTTATGACTTTTATCCGTCGGCACCAGAAGCCAGACGAAAGTAAGGCAACTCTTTTTGAAGATTTTGTATTGTATTTCCGCTACACAGATTGATGTTCCACATTTTGCGACATCTATTCGCCCATGCCCTGTAGGAAGCAGAGCAGAACGAGAGCACTTTGATCACGGAGTGAAGAAAGAAAGTGTAAGCTAAACAGAAGCTGTCATTTATCCCCACTACAATCTCTAACTCGGACGACTTACAACGAAATTTACGTCTCTCACAAAAGATTACAGATCCCAGAAGAATTGTGATGAAAAAGTCTTTGGCTAAATAGTTTTTGGCTAATTTACATGGAAGGAATCGGGTATAAATTAAAACTCTTTTTCTTGCACCTTCTTGATCTGGCTACTGCACTTGATTTGCCTCAGGTCTCTTCTGGAAAAGAAACGAGCCTAACAGAACAGCAATGCCGGTTATGGCAATGGTGAAGAAAAGGCGTTTCCGCGAATGCCCCTGTGGCTGCCTTCTTGGAGGAACTCCCCCTCTTGGCCCCCTCTCTGTTGGCCTTGGATTCACATCCCTTCAGAACAACAACCCAAGACCGCATTAGAATACACTATACAGTCAAGGAAAGATAAAAAAAAAGAACAGATACAAACTATCGTTGCTGTCCATTTTTTAACAAGACAGCATTCTTCTCTCGGGTTGGAAGCAAACAAAGCAACTTCGAAGTCGTGAAACCCTGCAATTTGCAGCTGTCTAGAAATAAAGTCCAAGCACGGCCACTCTTTAAGCTATTTTCAGTCTTCGCTCTACATATATGCATACCCGTCCATCAGAAGGTTTAACTCTTAACAATAACTATTACCTGCATGCTGCCCAAGCTTGCAGTTCTAGAAGCAAACTAGATGTCCAATGTGGAGGAACTTTTCTTACTTTTCCATTCGCAACCAGTTACTATGCTAAGAACCCAATCACACTGACGTAAGCATTCATCTCAAATACTAGAAGTGATGCACTCAAGAAGACACGTGACATAATTAAGAACTAACAAGGCCTTCAAAGCTGCAGAATTACAAGCAGTGACAAACAACAGGAAGTATACAAACATCAGAAGAATATAAACGAAATCATGAATGAGGAAGCATGACGGTACCTGGAAGATCCAACTGTGCTATCGGGTACACCAGTGCACCTAAGCTCATGGTTGTACCTCTCTCTAAGCCTTATATATCTACGGCACAAGGGACACAGTTCTGTCCGGTTCCCACAGACCTCCTATAAGTTTCAGAAATAACATTAGGTATCATTTTTGCTAAAACATTGGCACTGAAACATATATATCTGTTTGCTCTACTGAGAAAAAAAATCAACAGGTTAGTTAGTTCCTACCTGATGCTCAGCCAAGTCAGCTGCAGGCAATGGAAATTCACAGAACTCGCATGTCACAATTCTTTGGGGACAGTTTTCCCCTTTGTGAACAGCCAAAATGTCCCGTTCCATTGTCTCACTGCAGAGAGAACAGGAAACCTGTGCCAGAAACAAATAAGTCAATACAACCTGCTATACTACATAGAACAAACCCGGACATATAAAAACTATAACCAAGTTGAGATAAACCTGGCAAGAAAATAAATTCTCTCAAGCATGTCTCTGTGCAATTAAAAGAATTCAGTTTTATGTCCTATTTTTACCATAAATGCAGACAGACTGGCCTGCACCAGATATAACCAAACACTAGAACCACTAAGGTTCTCCAGAGAGAAGATACTATGAACCTGAATACCTCCCTAACATAAACAGGAACCAAAATAAAACATCAAACTATATAAGTCTTCTAGATAATAGCGTTCTCTAGACAAATAAATTCTTAACGGAGAAGTAAAGGGATCGAGCAATAACATAGCATGGTCAAGAGGGAGAACTATCAACCATGGTTCTAGGAAAATGTCATCCACTATTCAGTAAACAAAAGTGAATTGCTACATTAGAAAGGTTGCATACCGGTGCATGAGTGTTGGAGTAATGTTCCTCGGAATGTCGTTTGGGGACCATATCCCCGCAGATTTTACATTTTTCGAGATTCCGGGAGCAATGTACCATATGCAGATCTAGGTTAGAGGATGGGATGGCTCTGTCACTGCAAAACATTAAAAACCCACGCAACTATATCATAACCATCATCACAAATGTTCACCTGGCCTTAGAACTCGGAAGAACCATAGAAATAGGGTAATCATATCATCAGAAAATAATGAAATTTAGATTCAGACAGACCACTTAAGTCCCATTGATTTACACAAAGGCAGGAACACATATATCTGGGAGAAACATATAAACAAAGAGCAACCACCATACCGTAAACGGAAAGAAAATAACAACAGGCTTACCTAAATTCCACACATTTGAAACTAAGCTACAAACATCGAACACCCCAATTGACCCGTAGCAAAAAGGTTTCTATCTGATTGTTATTCAACCCAGCGGAGCCAGGAGAACATGACCGGATAAATCCAAACAGCTTATAAATACCCAAATGGAAATGAAAACCTAAGAGCAAAAATGACAACGAAGAAGTTGACCAGATTACCAGTGGGTGCAAACGCTGGTAGTCTCCTCAGATGCCATCGCCATAGGCATTCGATAAACAGTGTGCGCGCGCGTCGGTGATCGCTGCTCTCCAGACCAAGAAAGGATCGCGAAAAGAAGTACACGAAGAGATATTAAGGAGGCAAAAACGAACAAATTACGTAGAGAAATAGCTGAATAAGTTCAACAATTGAAACTTTACCTCCTATTAATTGCTTCAAATCGGGAAAAGGGAGGAACAGAAGAAGAATTCTACTAGTTCTCTGATGATGATGATGATAATAATAATAATAAGAAATAAATAATAAATAATAAATAATAAATAATAATAATAATAATAATAATAATAATAATAATAATAATAATAATAATAATCCCTTCTTGTTGGTGTTTCTAGTTGAACGAAATAAATAGCAGCATATTATTGAGAGATTCATTATAGGGAATTTCAGATGACTTGATTTTGGATCTCCATCGTCAAAGGGATTAGGGGGCTCCGGATAGCATAACAACACCTTAAGTGTTGTTAGTATAACAGCAGGGGTATAAGGGTCAATTGCACACATATTAATTAATAAGTTATTTTCTTTTACCTGGTATTAAATTTTAAATTCGAAATTAATGATAAAAATTCATTGAAGCGCGCAATTTGCCATTTCCGTTTTCCCCTTTCCCCTCTGCTCACGAACTGCTCTCCGACTTCTCCTTCGGTTGCTCTCACCCTATTCTCGCGATTCCGTTTCCTCCGTCGGCGATTCCGTCTGCGGCTTGTGGATTTCGTTCGCGCGATTCCGTTTCCTCCTTCGGCGAAGTGAATTTCGAGGAATTCGGGCCGGTGATTTCCTCCGCTAAACTGTCTTCTCCTCTGTCGTCAGTTTTGGCCTTCGAAGTCGCCGTTGTCGTTTTGGCGTCGCCGGAGTTCCACTTGTATGGTGTTAGTTTGGCGTCGCCGTTGTCGTTTTCATTAGCATTGTCGTTGCTTGCTGCTGCTATTGAAGTTATAACTGTCGTTTTCATGTTTGCTCTCTGTTACTTTCGTTTTCCACTTTTCTGCGATGTTTTGACGCATCCAGTCTACATTTGTTGTAGGAGACGAGGAAATTTCATACTTGTGCATTCTGGTTAGGTTTTGTGTGTTCTGGTTAGGTTTTGTTGAATGTTTTAGGGTTTCTGTGGTGTGCTTTGCTTGTTTTAGGGTTTCTGGTTTCTCATGAGTCGTTTGTGGTGGTGTTCAGTAGTGCTGTTGTTTTGTTCTTATTTTTGGTGGTTTGCTTTGTGTTTGGTGACGGTTAGGATGTTTGTGGGTTCGATTGGGACCTTTCTAGAGGTTTTTAATGAAACTATTGTGTATTTCCAGGCTGCTGTTGGTGGTTCTTTTAAAAGGTTTTGTGGTTTGTGTTTCGGATTTCACAGTTTGGTTTAGGAGATTTACTGGTGTGCATTTGCAGTTGTTGTTTGTCTCCTTTACATCTGATTATTGAGTTGTTTGTGGTGGTGTTCAGTAGTTCTGTTGTTTTGTTGTTTATTTTGGTGGTGCGCTTTGTGTTTGGTGACATTTAGGGTGTTTGTGGGTTCGATTGGGGCCTTTCTGTATGTTTTTAATACAACTATGGTGTATTTCCAGGGTGATGTTGGTGGTTTATTTGCAGTTGTTTGTCTCCTTTAAATTTGATTAATGGATTGTTTTCATGGTTGTACAGTTTGCATTAGGCCCTTGATGGTTTGCATTTTATATGTTCTGGTATTAGATTGCTTATGTTGGTTTGTGTTTTGGTTGCTTTGTAGGCACTGGCACCTGCTAAGAAACGTGCAGTAAATGGGAAAGAAAAGGAAAAAGTACCGACACCTAAGAAAGATGGTGTTTCTCCTGTGGCTGGAAAGCCGGATAAGAGGCATCGCAGTAATACTAATCGTATTCTTGCCATCATGGATGCTGACAGTACAACTGAATAAAAACTGCAGATGCTTGATCCTCTGGGTTTTAGGGGTGTGTCGAGGGTTAAGCTAACGAGACTCGCGGATAATTTTACTGAATGGATTTGCAAAAGTTTTGATGTCAGTTCAAGGTCTTTCTCGCTGCTTCGGTCAGGGAAGTTTAGAATTGGAGAGGCAGATGTGGAGAGAGTTTATGGTTTGACGCGTGGACCGTATGTTGTTAAGCTGGATATGTTTAGTGCAGCCCAGAGGCACAAGTGGGGAATTGAGTTAGGGCTTTCCAATACTAGGAAAGGAAAGGCGACATTGGCGAATGTTAAACTGGCATTGGAAGAGGAGAAGGATAATAAGAAGTGGAGGGATCTTTTTGTGCTGTATGCAATGGAGGCAGTTCTGTGCCCTAGTGGAAATTTGAAGATTGACCTCTCATATGCTGACCATTTCAATGAAAGTATGGTTGAAGTGGTTCAATCAAAATCAAAGTTCCCTGGTGACGTTCATCTTCTTTTTGTAAGTAGAAAAATATACCTCTTTTCGAAGTTTGGTTTACTGTTTCATTTATGGTTTGTTTATTGACGAATGTGGTGTGGTTGAAGATGTTTATGGTTTGTTTAAGAATATTTATGGTTTGCCTTTTGCCCCCCTTTGTTATAATGTTTCTGGTATAGTTTATCATTTATGGTTTGTTTATTGACGAATGTGGTGTGGTTAAAGATGTTTATGGTTTGTTTCAAGCTATTTATGGTTTGGTTTTTCCCCCCTGTTATAATGTTTCTGCAGTTTGTCATTTATTGTTTGTTTATTGACGAATGTGGTGTGGTTGAAGATGTTTATGGTTTGTTTAAGAGTATTTATGGTTTGGTTTTCCCCCCTGTTATAATTTTCCTAGTATAGCTTATCATTTTATGTGGTGTGTATTATAATCTTTCTGGCACAGTTTGTTTGTGGTTGCTTGACTTCTGTCTGTTTGTATGTGGCAGATTTAGATTCTTGATCGTTTGAAGAACCCCCCTGAGCTGCCCATACCAACCTGTAGACACAGGTCGTACAAAGTCGCAAGTGCTGCTTTTCAAGTACTAATGGACGAAGGTCATCTCTCTATTGGTCATCGAGATGTAGTGGCGGAAGAACAAGCAACCACCAGTCAACCAATGGGACGAGGACGTGTGAAGGGTACAAAGAGGAAAAGGTCGGTAGATGATCTTGATATGGAGAGGGAAGGGGATCTTCCGAAGCTTCCCTATCTTGACATCAACTTGGATGGTATTCATTCGGTTGAAGATGTGAGTATTTTTGCTGTGTTATTTGTTTTATGGCTTTCTTTAGCATACTTTCAGTGTGCTTTAAAAGGATAGTGGTTTGCATTAGTTTGTTTACGGAATACTTTATTTAATTCATGTGTTGGTTAGTTGTGTTTTTTGTTGTTTGTTCTTTGGGTTGCTTTAGTGTACTTGTGGTTTCTGTTAAAAGAATAGTGGTTTGCATTACTTCGGTAAAGGAATACTTTATGGTACTCATCGTTTGGTAGGTGTTTTTTTTGTGAGAATTCAAACATATGTGGTTTGTATACGTGTGTCTTAGGTGTTCATTAAAAGGAATTTGAGATTCTTTAGAAGGTTTATGGTTTGCTTTTGGGCTGTTTTCGTGTTTTTGTAGGCATATCAGTTGAAGAGTGACATGGAAAGTTATAAGAGGGCTTTGTTGAGGATGGCTACTCATTACAGTTCGAGCATTGAACAAGTTGATGAGCATATAAAGATGCTGGAGGGGCAGCAACCAGAGGATAGTCCTGAAGATAATGTCGATTTCACTGATACTGTTGAGGATCTTGCTGTTGGTAAGGGAACCAATGATGTCGGTCGTAATGCAGATGCTGCCAATGCTGATGATGAGACTGGTGCTAAGAGAGTATCAGATCCAAAGTCCCCGGGTCTTGATGATTTGTCAATGGAGATGGATAAGGATGGTGCGTCGCCAGATGTTGGTCACAATGATCCTGCTGGCATTGCTATTGATGATACCTCTGCTAAGGGAGTATCAGATTCGAAGGGGCTTGATGATCATCTTGATAATCTGACAATGGAGATGACACAAAAAAGTGTTGATTCTGAGAATGCTAAGAAGGTGGAGATGGACAACTGTGAGGGAAAGGGAGAAGGTGATGATGGAGATGACAATGTTGATGATGTTGACGCTGCTAAGTTGGATAACTTGGTTGAGAAGGTCGTAAAGGTATTTTTACTGTTTTGTGTTTGAATATTTGTGGTGTGGATTATACTGTTTTTGGTTTGTTTGTCATGTCTTTTGTAGTAGGTTGTTTTGCATTTGTTAGTAGTGTGGTTTACATATATCTGGTTTTGTTAAAAACTTTTGTGGTGTGGTTTCTGTAGTCTGCTATGGGGGATGTTCGTGAAGATGTGGTGGTTGATGAGAAAAGGAAAGAAGCTGATGCCGGTGAGGTGCTTGAGGGTGGTGATGATAGTGCAGATTTACCATTGAGTCAGCTAGTTGAGAGTATTAGGAAGGGAAAGGTAATTTGTTGTACAATGTTTCAGTTTTGGTTTGTTTTTGTAGTGTGGTTTATCGCATTTGTGGTTTGTGTTAGTTGTCTTTTGTACTGTTTTATCTTATTTGTGGGTTGCTTTAAAAATCAGAAAAAATTGAAAGTGAAGAATGCAGGAGGCTCATCAGATGTTGATGATGATGTGTTGAAGGGTGCTGTGTTGCGATATGCAAGGGTTTCAAATAACTTGTAAGTTAATGTGTATATATTTCATACATATGTGGTTGTTTGTATATATTTTTATATATAGTGCTTATTGGTACTTTTCTAATGCCGACTGTTTTGTTTGTTATTGAATTATGAAAAATAGGAAGGAACTCCTTTTCAGTCGTGTTGATGGATACGATTGCTTGTATAGAAAGGATAAAGAGACTTTGGCACATGGTCAATGTGTGAGTGTGGATGTCATTGACTGCTATGCTGCCTATCTGAATCGGGAGCAAGTGAGAAGCGGGCAACTGAAAAGATGGGTGTTCTATTCAGAGCTGGCGGTGAGTTACATTTTCTGCTAGTTCTGGTTTGTTTTAGTGTTTTTGTGGTGTGCATTATAATACGTCTGGTTTGGTTTAAGGTTTTTGTGTTGTGCATTCTAATACGTCTGGTTTGTTTTAGGGTTTTTGTGGTGTGTATTATAATACTTCTGGTTTGTTTTATGGTTTTTGTGGTGTGCATTATAATACGTCTGGTTTGTTTTAATGTGTTCTACCTTGTAGCAAAAAGTGCACACGATAGTGAAAGAGTCTGGACCACTGCCTAATTTTTTTGAAGAGACTGACGAAATCATTACAAGTTGCAAGTGGATACCAGATAATGTGGACTTCTCACAATGTGATTATGTATGTATTTGTTTAGTCACATTTGCTACATTGTTTCATGTGTTTTTTTTCTTCATTGTGCTTTTGAAGTACTGACTTGTTTTTGTTATGTACTATGCAGTGGATGTTACCCCACTGTTCTGATGAACACTACAGGATGTATGTAGTGAATCTGAAGAACAAACAATATGATTATCTTGACAGCCTTTACCCTGATGAACTTAATACCAAGTTTCGTGCTGTTGAGGATATGGTGGTCCGCTATGCCACAGAATACATTCCTGCCTGTAGACAAGAGCCCTTCAACTTTGAAGAATTCAAGTGGGTTAGAATGCGAGGGATAAGACAACATGGTGGGGTTGAGTGTGGTGTTTTGCTATGAATTTTGCTGAGTTTTGGGAAGGCAAACTGGTGCCAGCTATGAGGAAGTGGCAAAAAGAAATCAATCAGAGGCGCGATGAGATCACATTAACATTGCTGCTGAATGAGGAGAAAAGTTTACTTGAAGAGCTGAAGAAGAAGAGTTTGGAGTTTGATCGCAAGGTGGACTAGCTGATTTTAGGATGCATTTGCAAGAACAGTTTCAGATTTCAGTGTGTTAATATGTGTTTTAGTGTGTTAATTGTGTAGATTAAGGCTTTTGTGTTCTGTATCTGAAGTGTTGTGGGTTGATTAAGAAGATTTGTGGTCTTCTTCGTGTATGG